CCGGACACCTCAGTGCATTGCAATGCTCTTTCCGGACACCCTGGAGCGTTAGAATGCTCTTGACGGACACCCCAGAGTGTTGCAATGCTCTTGCCGGCCACCCTAAAGCATTGCAATGCTCTTGCCGGAAACCCTAGAGCATTGTAATGCCCTTGCCGGACACCCCGTAGCGTTGCAGTGCTCTTGCTGAACACCCTGGAGTGTTGCAGTGCTCTTCTCGGACACCCCGGAGGGTTGCAATGCTCTTGCCGGACACCCTGGAGCGCTGCAATGCTCTTGCCAACCACCCTGGAGCGTTGCAATTCTCTTGCCGACCACCCTCGAGCATTGCAATGCTCTTGCTGGACACCAGGAGCGTTGCAGTACTCTTGCCGAACACCTTGCAGCATTGCAATGCTGTTGGTGGACACCCTAGAGCTTTGCAATGCTATTGCTAGACACCCTGGTGCGTTGCAGTGCTCTTGCCGGACACCCCGGGGCCCTGCAATGCTCTTGCCGACCACCCTGGAGCGTTACAATGCTCTTGCTGGACACCCCACAGCGTTGCAGCGCACTTGCCGGACATCCCGAAGCCTTGCAATGCTCTTGCCGGCCACTCTGGAGCGTTGCAATGCACTTGCCGGACACCCTGGAGCGTTGCAGTGCTCTTGCCTGTTAGAAGTGGACACTGGAATGGCCCAAAGTGGTCTCCCTAAGGGCTATCGGTCTCGTCCTGGGGGGGTATGGGTGCGCTGACCCACTATGGAAACATGCCCTTTTATCCCAGTTGGTTAGCGGATTGGGATGCTATCCCTGCATTGCCGGCCACCCTGAAGCGTTGCAATGCTCTTGCCGGACACCCCAGAGCATTGTAATGCTCTTGCCAGACACCCTGAAGCATTGCAGCGCACTTGCCGGACACCACGGAGCGTTGCAATGCTCTTGCCGACCACCAAGGAGCGTTGCAATGCTCTTGCCGGCCACCCTGGAGCGTTGCAATGATCTTGCAGTACACCCCAGAGCGTTGCAGTGCACTTGCCGGACAACCCGTAGCGTTGCAATGCTCTTGCCGGACACCCTGGAGCGTTGTAATGCTCTTGCCGACCACCCTAGAGCGTTGCAAAGCTCTAGCAGGACACCCTGGAGCGTTGCAGTGTACTTGCCCGACACCCTGGAGCATTGCAATGAACTTGGTGGACACCCCGTAGTGTTGCAATGCTCTTGTCGACCACCGTGGAGCGTTGCAATGCTCTCGCCGGCCACCCCAAAGCGTTGCAACGCTCTTGCAGGACACCCTGGAGCATTGCAATGCCCTTGCAAGACACCCCAGAGCGTTGCGATGCTCCTGCCTGATACCCTGGAGCGTTGCAATGCTCTTGCCGATCACCCTGGAGCGTTGCAATGCTCTTGCCGGACACCTCAGAGCGTTACAATGCTCTTGCCGGCCACCATGGAGCATTGTAGTAAACTTGCCGCACATCCCGAAGCATTGCAGTGCTCTTGGCGGCCACCCTGGAGCGTTGCAATGCTCTTGCTTGACACCCTAGAGCATTGTAGTCGTCTTGTTGGACACCCCGAAGTGTTGTAGCGCACTTGCCAGACACCCGTGAGCGTTGCAATGCTCTTGCTGACCACCGTGGAGCGTTCCAATGCTCTTGCCGGACACCCTGGAGCGTTGCAATGCTCTTGCCGGACACCCCGGACACACGCTAGGCCCTTGTTCTTCCAATTTTGCACACGCTGGGCCCTTGTTCTTCCAATTCTGCACACGCTGGGCCCTTGTTCTTCCAATTCTACACACGCTGGGCCCTTGTTCTTCCAATTCTGCACACCTTGGGCCCTTGTTCTTCCAATTTTGCATACGCTGAGCCCTTGTTCTTCCTATTCTGCACATGCTGGGCCCTTGTTCTTCCAATTCTGCACACACTGTGCCCTTGTTCTTCCAATTCTGCACACGCTGGGCCCTTGTTCTTCCAATTTTGCACACGCTGGGCCTTTGTACTTCCAATTCTGCAAACGCTAGGACCTTGTTCTTCCAATTCTGCATACGCTGGGCCTTTGTTCTTCCAATTCTGCACACGCTGGGCCCTTGTTCTTTTAATTCTGCACACGCTGGGCCCTTGTTCTTCCAATTCTACACACGCTGGGCCCTTGTTCTTGCAATTCTGCACACGCTGGGCCGTTGTTCTTCCAATTTTGCACACACCGGGCCCTTGTTCTTCCAATTCTGGACACGCTGGGCCCTTGTTCTTCCAATTCTGCACAAGCTAGGCCCTTGTTCTTCCAATTCGGCAGACGCTGGGCCCTTGTTCTTCCAATTCTGCATACGTTGGGCCCTTGTTCTTCCAATTCTGCATAGACTGGGCCCTTGTTCTTCCAATTATGCACACGCTGGGCCCTTGTTCTTCTAATTCTGCACACGCTGGGCCCTTGTTCTTCCAATTCTGCACATGCTGGGCCCTTGTTCTTCCAATTTTTCACACGCTGGGCCCTTGTTATTTCAATTCTTGACACGCTGGGCCCTTGTTCTTCCAATTCTGAACACGCTGGGCCCTTCTTCTTCCAATTCGGCACACGCTGGGCCCTTGTTCTTCCAATTCAGCACACGCTGGGACCTTCTTCTTCCAATTCTGCACACGGTGGGCCCTTGTTCCAGCAATTCTGCACACGGAGGGCCCTTGTTCATCCAATTCTGCACACTCTGGGCCCTTGTTCTTGCAATTCTGCACATGCTGGGCCCTTGTTCTTCTAATTCTGCACACGCTGGGCCCTTGTTCTTCCAATTTTGCACACGCTGGGCCCTTGTTCTTCCAATTCTGCACGCGCTTGGCCCTTGTTCTTCCAATTTTGCACACGCTGGGCCCTTGTTCTTGCAATTCCGCACATGCTGGGCCCTTGTTCTTCCAATTATGCACGGGTTGGGCCCTTGTTCTTCCAATTCTGTACACGCTGGGCCCTTGTTCTTCCAATTTTGCGCACGCTGGGCCCATTTTCTTCGAATGTTGCACACGCTGGGCCCTTGTTCGTCCAATTCTGCATACGCTGGGCCCTTGTTCTTCCTATTCTGCACATGATGGGCCCTTGTTCTTCCAATTCTGCACACGCTGGGCCCTTGTTCTTCCAATTCTGCACTCGCTGGGCCCTTGTTTTTCCAATTCTACACACGCTTGGCCCTTCTTCTTGCAATTCGGCACATGCTGGGCCCTTGTTTTTCCAATTCAGCACACGCTGGGACCTTGTTCTTCCAATATTGCACACGCTGGGCCTTTGTTCTTGCAATTCTGCACACGCTGGGCCCTTGTTCTTCCAATTTTGCACACGCTGGGCCCTTGTTCTTCCAATTCTGCACACGCTGGGCCCTTGTTCTTCCAATTCTGCACACGCTTGGCCCTTCTTCTTGCAATTCCGCACACGCTGGGCCCTTGTTCTTCCAATTCAGCACACGCTGGGACCTTGTTCTTCCAATTTTGCACACGCTGTGCCTCAGTTCTTGCAATTCTGCATACGCTGGGCCCTTGTTCTTCCATGTCTGCACACGCTGGGCCCTTGTTCTTCCTATTCTGCACAAGCTGGGCCCTTGTTCTTTCAATTCTGCACACGCTGGGCCCTTGTTCTTCCAATTCTGCATAGGCTGGGCCCTTGTTCCTCCTATTCTGCATACGCTGGGCCCTTGTTCTTCCAATTCTGCACACGCTGGGCCTTGTTCTTCCAATTCTGCACATGCTTGGCCCTTCTTCTTGCAATCCGGCACACGCGAGGCCCTTGTTCTTCCATTTCTGCACACGCTGGGCCCTTGTTCTTCCAATTTTGCAAACGCTGGGCCATTGTTCTTCCAACTCTGCATAGGCTGGGCCCTTGTTCTTCCTATTCTGCACACGCTGGGCCCTTGTTCTTCCAATTCCACACATGCTGGGCCCTTGTTCTTCCAATTCTGCACACGCTTGGCCCTTCTTCTTCCAATTCGGCACACGCTGGGCCCTTGTTCTTCCAATTCTGCACCGGCTGGGCCCTTGTTCTTCCGATTTTGCACACGCTGGGCCCTTGTTCTTCCAATTTGTACACGCTGGGCCCTTGTTCTTCGAATTTTGCACACGCTGGGCCCTTGTTCTTCCAATTCTGCATACGCTTGGCCCTTGTTCTTCCTATTCTGCACACGATGGGCCCTTGTTCTTCCAATTCTGCACACACTGGGCCCTTGTTCTTCCAATTCTGCACACGCTGGGCCTTTGTTCTTCCAATTCTGCACACCCTTAGCCCTTCTTCTTGCAATTCGGCACATGCTGGGCCCTTGTTCTTCCAATTCAGTACACGCTAGGACCTTGTTCTTCCAATTTTGCACACGCTGGGCCTTTGTTTTTGCAATTCTGCACACGCTGGGCCCTTGTTCTTCCAATTCTGCATACCCTTAGCCCTTGTTCATCCAATTCTGCACACGCTGGGCCCTTGTTCTTCCAATTCTGCACACGCTGGGCCCTTGTTCTTCCAATTCTGCATACGCTGGGCCCTTGTTCCTCCTATTCTGCACACGATGGGCCCTTGTTCTTCCAATTCTGCATACGCTGGGCCTTTGTTCTTCCAATTCTGCACACGCTGGGCCCTTGTTCTTCCAATTCTGCACACGCTTGGCCCTTCATCTTGCAATTCGGCACACGCTGGGCCCTTGTTCTTCCAATTCAGCACACGCTGGGACCTTTTTCTTCCAATTTTGCACACGCTGGGCCTTTGTTCTTGCAATTCTGCACACGCTGGGCCCTTGTTCTTCCAATTTTGCACACGCTGGGCCCTTGTTCTTCCAATTCTGCATAGGCTGGGCCCTTGTTCTTCCTATTCTGCACACGCTGGGCCATTGTTCTTCCAATTCCGCACACGCTTGGCTCTTGTTCTTCCAATTCTGCACACGCTTGGCCCTTCTTCTTCCAATTCGGCACACGCTGGGCCCTTGTTCTTCCAATGCAGCACACGCTGGGACCTTATTCTTCCAATTCTGCACACGGTGGGGCCTTGTTCCTGCAATTCTGCACATGCTCGGCCCTTGTTCTTCCATCACCCCGCCCCATTCTCCCGCTTTCCATCACCCCGCCATATTCTCCCGCTTTCAATCACCACGCCCCATTTTCCAGCTTTCCATCACCCCGCCCTACTCTCCAACTTTCCATCACCCCGCCCCATTCTCCCGCTTTCCATCACCCCGCCCCATTCTCCCGCTTTCAATCACCACGCCCCATTTTCCAGCTTTCCATCACCCCGCCCCACTCTCCAACTTTCCATCACCCCGCCCCATTCTCCCGCTTTCCATCACCCCGCCCCATTCTCCCGCTTTCCATCACCCCGCCCCATTCTCCCTCTTTCTATCACCCCGCCCCATTCTCCCGCTTTCCATCACCCCGCCCCGTTCTCCCGCTTTTCATCACCGCGCCCCATTCTCCCGCTTTCCTTCACCCCGTTCCATTCTCCCGCTTTCCATCACCCTGCCCCATTCTCCCGCTTTCCATCTCCCCGCCCCATTCTCCCGCTTTCCATCACCACGCCCCATTTTCCCACTTTCCATCACCCCGCCCCACTCTCCAACTTTCCATCACCCCGCCCCATTCTCCCGCTTTCCATCACCCCGCCCCATTCTCCCGCTTTCCATCACCCCGCCCCATTCTCCCAATTTCAATCACCACGCCCCATTTTCCAGCTTTCCATCACCCCGCCCCACTCTCCAACTTTCCATCACCCCGCCCCATTCTCCCGCTTTCCATCACCCCACCCCATTCTCCCGCTTTCCATCACCCCGCCCCATTCTCCCTCTTTCCATCACCCCGCCCCATTCTCCCGCTTTCCATCACCCCGCCTCGTTCTCCCGCTTTTCATCACCCCGCCCCATTCTCCCGTTTTCCTTCACCCCGTTCCATTCTCCCGCTTTCCATCACCCTGCCCCATTCTCCCGCTTTCCATCACCCCGCCCCATTCTCCCTCTTTCCATCACCCCACCCCATTCTCCCGCTTTCCATCACCCCGCCCCATTCTCCCGCTTTCGAACACCCCGCCCAATTCTCCCGCTTTTCATCACCCCGCCCCATTCTCCCGCTTTCCTTCACCCCGTTCCATTCTCCCGCTTTCCATCACCCCGCCCTATTCTCCAGCTTTCCATCACCCCGCCCCGTTCTCCCTCTTTCCATCACCCCGCCCCATTCTCTCGCTTTCCATCACCCCGACCCATTCTCCAACATTCCATCACCCCGCCCCATTCTCCCGCTTGCCATCACCCCGCCCCATTCTGCCGCTTTCCATCACCCCGCCCCATTCTCCCGCTTTCCATCACCCCGCCCCATTCTCCCGCTTTCCATCACCCCGCCCCATTCTCCCGCTTTCCATCACCCCGCCCCATTCTCCCGCTTTCCATCACCACGCCCCATTTTCCCGCTTTCCATCACCCCGCCCCACTCTCCAACTTTCCATCACCCTGCCCCATTCTCCCGCATTCCATCACCCCGCCCCATTCTCCCGCTTTCCATCACCCCGCCTCATTCTCCCGCTTTCCATCACCCCGCCCCATGCTCCCGCTTTCCATCACCCTGCCCCAATCTCCCGCTTTCCATCACCCCGCCCCATTCTCCCGCTTTCAATCACCACGCCCCATTTTCCAGCTTTCCATCACCCCGCCCCACTCTCCAACTTTCCATCACCCCGCCCCATTCTCCCGCTTTCCATCACCCCGCCCCATTCTCCCGCTTTCCATCACCCCGCCCCATTCTCCCTCTTTCCATCACCCCGCCCCATTCTCCCGCTTTCCATCACCCCGCCCCGTTCTCCCGCTTTTCATCACCCTGCCCCATTCTCCCGCTTTCCTTCACCCCGTTCCATTCTCCCGCTTTCCATCACCCTGCCCCATTCTCCCGCTTTCCATCACCCCGCCCCATTCTCCCGCTTTCCATCACCACGCCCCATTTTCCCGCTTTCCATCACCCCCCCCCCCCTCTCCCCCTTTCCATCACCCCGCCCCATTCTCCCGCTTTCCATCACCACGCCCCATTCTCCCGCTTTCCATCACCCCGCCCCATTCTCCCTCTTTCCATCACCCCGCCCCATTCTCCCGCTTTCCATCACCCCGCCCCGTTCTCCCGCTTTTCATCACCCCGCCCCATTCTCCCGTTTTCCTTCACCCCGTTCCATTCTCCCGCTTTCCATCACCCTGCCCCATTCTCCCGCTTTCCATCACCCCGCCCCATTCTCCCTCTTTCCATCACCCCACCCCATTCTCCCGCTTTCCATCACCCCGCCCCATTCTCCCGCTTTCCAACAACCCGCCCAATTCTCCCGCTTTTCATCACCCCGCCCCATTCTCCCGCTTTCCTTCACCCCGTTCCATTCTCCCGCTTTCCATCACCCCGCCCTATTCTCCAGCTTTCCATCACCCTGCCCCGTTCTCCCTCTTTCCATCACCCCGCCCCATTCTCTCGCTTTCCATCACCCCGCCCTATTCTCCAACATTCCATCACCCCGCCCCATTCTCCCGCTTGCCATCACCCCGCCCCATTCTGCCGCTTTCCATCACCCCGCCCCATTCTCCCGCTTTCTTTCACCCCGCCCCATTCTCCCGCTTTCCATCACCCCGCCCCATTCTCCCGCTTTCCATCACCCCGCCCCATTCTCCCGCTTTCCATCACCACGCCCCATTTTCCCGCTTTCCATCACCCCGCCCCACTCTCCAACTTTCCATCACCCGGCCCCATTCTCCCGCTTTCCATCACCCCGCCCCATTCTCCCGCTTTCCATCACCCCGCCTCATTCTCCCGCTTTCCATCACCCCGCCCCATGCTCCCGCTTTCCATCACCCCGTCCAGAATTGGAAGAACAAGGACCCAGCGTGTGCAGAATTCGAAGAACAAGGGCCCAGCGTGCGCAGAATTGGAAGAACAAGGGCCCAGCGTGTTCAAAATTGGAAGAACAAGGGCCCAGCGTGTGCAGAATTGGAAGAACAAGGGCCTAGCGTGTGCAGAATTGGAAGAACAAGGGCCCAGCATGTGGAGAATTGCAAGAACAAGGGCCCAGGGTGTGCAGAATTGGAAGAACAAGGGCCCAGCGTGTGCAGAATTGGAAGAACAAGGGCCCAGCGTGTGCAGAATTAGAAGAACAAGGTCCCATCGTGTGCTGAATTGGAAGAACAAGGGCCTAGCGTGTGCCGAACTAGAAGAACAAGGGCCCAGCGTATGCAGAATTGGAAGAACAAGGGCCCAGCGTGTGCAAAATTGGAAGAACAAGGGCCCAACGTGTGCAAAATTGCAAGAACAAAGGCCAAGCGTGTGCAAAATTGGAAGAACAAGGTCCCAGCGTGTGCAAAATTGGAAGAACAAGGGCCCAACGTGTGCAAAATTGCAAGAACAAAGGCCAAGCGTGTGCAAAATTGGAAGAACAAGGTCCCAGCGTGTGCTGAATTGGAAGAACAAGGGCCCAGCATGTGCCGAATTGCAAGAAGAAGGTCCAAGCGTGTGCACAATTGGAAGAACAAGGTCCCAGCGTGTGCAGAATTGGAAGAAAAAGGGGCAAGCGTGTGCAGAATTGGAAGAAGAAGGGCCCAGCGTGTGCAGAATAGGAAGAACAAGGGCCCAACGTGTGCAAAATTGGAAGAAAAAGGGCCCATCGTGTGCAAAATTCGAAGAACAAGGGCCCAACGTGTGCAGAATTGGAAGAACAAGGGCACAGTGTGTGCAGAATTGGAAGAACAAGGGCCCAGCATGTGTAGAATTGGAAGAACAAGGGCCCAGCGTGTGCAAAATTGGAAGAACAAGGGCCCAACGTGTGCAGAATTGGAAGAACAAGGGCCCAGCGTGTGCAGAATTGGATGAACAAGGGCCCAGCGTGTGCAGAATTGGAAGAAGAAGGGCCCATCGTGTGTAGAATAGGAAGAACAAGGGCCCAGTGTGTGCAAAATTCGAAGAACAAGGGCCCAGCGTTTGCAAAATTGCAAAAACAAGGGCCCAGCGTGTGCAGAATTGGGAGAACAAGGGCCCAGCGTGTGCAGAATTGGAAGAACAAGGGCCCTGTGGGTGCAGAATTGCAAGAACAAGGGACCAGCGTGTGAAAAATTGGAAGAAAAAGGGCCAAGCGTGTGCAGAATTGGAAGAACAAGGGCCCAACGTGTGCAGAATTGGAAGAACAAGGGCCCAGCGTGTGCAGAATTGGAAGAACAAGGGCGCAGCGTGTGCAGGATTGGATGAACAAGGGACCAGTGTGTGCAGAATTGAAAGAACAAGGGCCCAGCGTGTGCAGAATTGGAAGAACAAGGGACCCATCGTGTTCAAAATTGGAAGAACAAGGGCCCAGCATGTGCAGAATCGGAAGAACAAGGGCCCAGCATGTACAGAATTGCAAGAACAAGGGCACAGAGTGTCCAGAATTGGAAGAACAAGGGCCCAGCGTGCGCAGAATTGGAAGAACAAGGGCCCAGCGTGTTCAAAATTGGAAGAACAAGGGCCCAGCGTGTGCAGAATTGGAAGAATAAGGGCCCAGCGTGTGCAGAATTGGAAGAACAAGGGCCCAGCATGTGCAGAATTGCAAGAACAAGGGCCCAGGGTGTGCAGAATTGGAAGAACAAGGGCCCAGCGTGTGCAGAATTGGAAGAACAAGGGCGCAGCGTGTGCAAAATTGGATGAACAAGGGCCCAGCGTGTGCAGAATTGGAAGAACAAGGGCCCAGCGTGTGCAGAATTGGAAGAACAAGGGCCCAGCATGTGGAGAATTGCAAGAACAAGGGCCCAGGTTGTGCAGAATTGGAAGAACAAGAGCCCAGCGTGTGCAGAATTGGAAGAACAAGGGCCCAGCCTGTGCAGAATTGGAAGAACAAGGTGCCATCGTGTGCTGAATTGAAAAAACAAGGGCCCAGCGTGTGCCGAACTAGAAGAACAAGGGCCCAGTGTGTGCAAAATCGGAAGAACAAGGGCCCAGCGTGTGCAGAATTGGAAGAACAAGGGCCCAGCGTGTGCAGAATAGGAAGAACAAGGGCCCAGCGTATGCAGAATTGGAAGAACAAGGGCCCTGCGTGTGCAAAATTGGAAGAACAAGGGCCCAACGTGTGCAAAATTGCAAGAACAAAGGCCCAGCGTGTGCAAAATTGGAAGAACAAGGTCCCGGCGTGTGCTGAATTGGAAGAACAAGGGCCCAGCATGTGCCAAATTGCAAGAAGAAGGTCCAAGCGTGTGCACAATTGGAAGAACAAGGTCCCAGCGTGTGCAGAATTGGAAGAACAAGGGGCAAGCGTGTGCAGAATTGGAAGAAGAAGGGCCCATCGTGTGCAGAATAGGAAGAACAAGGGCCCAACGTGTGCAAAATTGGAAGAAAAAGGGCCCATCGTGTGCAAAATTCGAAGAACAAGGGCCCAACGTGTGCAGAATTGGAAGAACAAGGGCACAGGGTGTGCAGAATTGGAAGAACAAGGGCCCAGCATGTACAGAATTGGAAGAACAAGGGCCCAGCGTGTGCAGAATTGGATGAACAAGGGCCCAGCGTGTGCAGAATTGGAAGAACAAGGGCCCAGCATGTGCAGAATTGCTTGAACAAGAGCCCACCGTGGCCAGAATTGGAAGAACAAGGTTCTAGCGTGTGCTGAATCGAAAGAACAAGGGCCCAGCGTGTGCCGAATTGGAAGAAGAAGGGCCTAGTGTGTGTAGAATTGGAAGAACAAGGGCCCAGCGTGTGCAGAATTGGAAGAACAAGAGCCCAGCGTGTGCAGAATTGGAAGAACAAGGGCCCAGCGTGTGCAAAATTGGAAGAACAAGGGCCCAGCGTGTGCAGAATTGGAAGAACAAGGGTTCAGCGTGTGCAGAATTGGAAGAACAAGGGCCCAACGTGTGCCGAACTGGAAGAAGAAGGGCCCAGCGTGTGCACAATTGGAAGAACAAGGGCCCAGTGTGTGCACAATTGGAAGAACAAGGGCCCAGCGTGTGCAGAATTGGAAGAACAAGGGCCCAGCGTGTGCAGAATTGGAAGAACAAGGGCCTAGCATATGCAAAATTGGAAGAACAAGGGCCCAGCGTGTGCAGAATTGGAAGAACAAGGGCCCAGCGTGTGCAAAATTGGAAGAACAAGGGCCCAGTGTGTGCAGCATTGGAAGAACAAGGGCCCAGCATGTGCAGAATTGCAAGAATAAGGGCCCAGCGTGTGCAAAATTGGAAGAACAAGGGCCCAGCGTGTGCAGAATTGGAAGAACAAGGGACCCATCGTGTTCAAAATTGGAAGAACAAGGGCCCAGCATGTGCAGAATCGGAAGAACAAGGGCCCAGCATGTACAGAATTGCAAGAACAAGGGCACAGGGTGTCCAGAATTGGAAGAACAAGGGCCCAGCGTGCGCAGAATTGGAAGAACAAGGGCCCAGCGTGTTCAAAATTGGAAGAACAAGGGCCCAGCGTGTGCAGAATTGGAAGAATAAGGGCCCAGCGTGTGCAGAATTGGAAGAACAAGGGCCCAGCATGTGCAGAATTGCAAGAACAAGGGCCCAGGGTGTGCAGAATTGGAAGAACAAGGGCCCAGCGTGTGCAGAATTGGAAGAACAAGGGCGCAGCGTGTGCAAAATTGGATGAACAAGGGCCCAGCGTGTGCAGAATTGGAAGAACAAGAGCCCAGCGTGTGCAGAATTGGAAGAACAAGGGCCCAGCCTGTGCAGAATTGGAAGAACAAGGTGCCATCGTGTGCTGAATTGAAAGAACAAGGGCCCAGCGTATGCCGAACTAGAAGAACAAGGGCCCAGTGTGTGCAAAATTGGAAGAACAAGGGCCCAGCGTGTGCAGAATTGGAAGAACAAGGGCCCAGCGTGTGCAGAATAGGAAGAACAAGGGCCCAGCGTATGCAGAATTGGAAGAACAAGGGCCCTGCGTGTGCAAAATTGGAAGAACAAGGGCCCAACGTGTGCAAAATTGCAAGAACAAAGGCCCAGCGTGTGCAAAATTGGAAGAACAAGGTCCCGGCGTGTGCTGAATTGGAAGAACAAGGGCCCAGCATGTGCCGAATTGCAAGAAGAAGGTCCAAGCGTGTGCACAATTGGAAGAACAAGGTCCCAGCGTGTGCAGAATTGGAAGAACAAGGGGCAAGCGTGTGCAGAATTGGAAGAAGAAGGGCCCATCGTGTGCAGAATAGGAAGAACAAGGGTTCAACGTGTGCAAAATTGGAAGAAAAAGGGCCCATCGTGTGCAAAATTCGAAGAACAAGGGCCCAACGTGTGCAGAATTGGAAGAACAAGGGCACAGTGTGTGCAGAATTGGAAGAACAAGGGCCCAGCATGTACAGAATTGGAAGAACAAGGGCCCAGCGTGTGCAAAATTGGAAGAACAAGGGCCCAACGTGTGCAGAATTGGAAGAACAAGGGCCCAGCGTGTGCAGAATTGGATGAACAAGGGCCCAGCGTGTGCAGAATTGGAAGAACAAGGGCCCAGCATGTGCAGAATTGCTTGAACAAGGGCCCACCGTGGGCAGAATTGGAAGAACAAGGTTCCAGCGTGTGCTCAATCGGAAGAACAAGGGCCCAGCGTGTGCCGAATTGGAAGAAGAAGGGCCCAGTGTGTGTAGAATTGGAAGAACAAGGGCCCAGCGTGTGCAGAATTGGAAGAACAAGAGCCCAGCGTGTGCAGAATTGGAAGAACAAGGGCCCAGCGTGTGCAAAATTGGAAGAACAAGGGCCCAGCGTGTGCAGAATTGGAAGAACAAGGGTTCAGCGTGTGCAGAATTGGAAGAACAAGGGCCCAACGTGTGCCGAACTGGAAGAAGAAGGGCCCAGCGTGTGCAGAATTGGAAGAACAAGGGCCCAGCGTGTGCAGAATTGGAAGAACAAGGGCCCAGCGTGTGCAGAATTGGAAGAACAAGGGCCTAGCATATGCAAAATTGGAAGAACAAGGGCCCAGCGTGTGCAGAATTGGAAGAACAAGGGCCCTGCGTGTGCAAAATTGGAAGAACAAGGTTCCAGTGTGTGCAGCATTGGAAGAAAAAGGGCCCAGTGTGTGCAGCATTGGAAGAACAAGGGCCCAGCATGTACAGAATTGCAAGAACAAGGGCCCAGCGTGCGCAGAATTGGAAGAACAAGGGCCCAGCGTGTTCAAAATTGGAAGAACAAGGGCCCAGCGTGTGCAGAATTGGAAGAATAAGGGCCCAGCGTGTGCAGAATTGGAA